AGAGAAGAGAAGAGAAGAGAAGAGAAGAGAAGAGAAGAGAAGAGAAGAGAAGAGAAGAGAAGAGAAGAGAAGAGAAGAGAAGAGAAGAGAAGAGAGAAACCCACCCTGGAGATCTTCAGAAAAATTAGACATTTGTTTTCATTACATAGGCTCACGTTGAGAGGGGATGGGGACAATCTATAATTACTTCCAAATTTTGTGGAAAATATGAGAAAAACCTGAGATTTCTTTTTTTGCTTTGTGGTTTCTAATGTCTATAGACATTCCCTTCAGCAACTTATATTTGAATCTTTTATTCATATTCATTAGATACAGGAGTTCGGACATTTGCTTAACACTTTCCAATGTTTTGGTTAGTTATTTGCTGTTCTTCCAATATTGCCGTTAGCACTGTAACTTTTTTTTTTATCTTCTGCTTTCTGTCCTAGCCCTCCAATATTTAGTCTTTCCTCTCAGATCTGCCCTTTTGCAGTGTCAGTTCCCACTGACACTCAGCTACACAAATATAAATGAAATATCCAGGACTGAACTACATGAACCTTGGCTTCCCTCATAGGAAAGGAGAGTTGTGCTACATATTAATAACTGAGCAGTAACTGAGTCAATTTTTAATATTTTAGAAAACAGTCACAGCAGGAGTACAGTCAGTATACAGCAAACATAAATGTAATGATTACTTTTTTTGTTCAGTAGTGCATTACACTTCCTATACTATAGTATTTTACATTCTTACCAGATTGGGTTTTATCCCTTTGCATACATGACCAGGAATGTAAGTCTAAAATTCTAACCCTGACTTAACATGCACATGCATCTCACTGCTTAATGCTACTTCATGAAACAATTACCTTCTAATACTCACTCTTTTAGCCCCTTACAGGCAKGGAACCCATGGAGGAGAGAGCAGGAGTCTGCTGTGTCTCAGCAGCCATTGGCAGACTTGCAGGACGTGACAAAGTTAGGACCAGATTCTCCATTACAGAATGCTGCTTGAAAGAACAAAGATCTCCAAATTAGTCCAATACTTGCTTGCTTAGATTTTTTTTTATTATTGTTCTTCTAGAAGGCATATTTCACAATATTTTATTCCTTGCTGTAAAGGATCAATCAGTTAGAATAACATTCTTGCAAAGCTGATCTCATTCTCAGGCTTTCATGGGGCAGAAATGTCAAAAATAGCAATGTTGAACAAAATGGATATTAATATATAAATACCAGTTTTTGCAAAACTCAAATGCAAGAAGAGACTGGACATCTAGATGTCACCATATGACACGTTTTGACGTCATTCACAGACTTCTGCATGGTGATGCACAAAGCTGGTCGCTTGCTGGACATGTAGCTAATAACCGGTCATGTTGGCTTCTGATGCATACCAGTTAGCATCTGTCAATTCTGGCTATTTTCTTATCTCAATGAACAGAGAACCAATAATACGACAAGATAGCAAGAGGCAAGAGACTGATAGACAGGCTTTTGGGGAAGGGGTCTATAAATTGTGCATCATTGCTTTTTGATATTTGGACCAGCTAATCTTTCATAAAGGGTGCAAAATGTCCCCCTTTCGAAGGTGTGGTTCGACAATACATTTCCTCAGAGGCAAAGCCTGCAGTGTTTCCTGTTCACAGCCTTGCAGTAAAAATCRCTGCCAGCACACTATTTTTATTCTGGATCGTTTCAGTGACCTGATTTGTAGTCTGCCTCACACTCCTTTGTAAAACTGAGATGGTGGCAGAATATGATATAGGGGTGGGAATGAGCAGGCGAGGAATGAGCCCTGTTTTTGGGAAGATTTCTAAAGTAAAAA